AGAGTCTCCAGAGCCGCTGTGGGAGTGGTCCTCATTGCTCCTGTAACACTGAGACACGCCATTCTCTGAACGTGTTCAAGTTGCAGGGCTGTTGTTTTTTGTCTGGCTCTGGGCCACCAAACTAAAGCTCCATAGCACAGCATCGGTCTGACTATTGCCGTGTAGATCCAAAGGGCGATCTTGGGATTTAAACCCCACGACCTTCCCACCACCCTACGACATTGCCAGAGAGCCGAGCGTGCCTTTTCTACTTTATCATCTACATGCTTCTTCCAATTCAGTCGCCAGTCCAATACAACTCCCAGGTATTTGACTTCGTCCGAAAGTTGAAGCGTTGTGTTAAATATTTTTGGCATCTGTAGTGTGCCAATTTTCCTTTTCCTGGTGAACAGGATTAGTTTCGTCTTTTCTCCATTAACGGAGAGGGTATGTCTGTTGCACCATTCCTCGACTATTTTTACTGCAGCTTGCATTATCTCACATAATGTATCTGCGTTTTTTCCTGTTAGCAGAATGACTAGATCGTCCGCGTATCCAATTGTGTGGTAGCCAAGATCATTGAGGCGTCGTATCAGGCTGTCAACGACAGTATCCCACAGTACAGGAGAGAGAACTCCTCCCTGAGGACATCCCCTGTCTACAACAGCCTCGATCTCAGTGCCACCTACATTAATCATTACTTCCCTGTTCCTCAGCATACTGGCCACCCACCTACTTAGGGTGGGGTCCACGTCGTGCTTTCGTAGGGCTAGTTCTATGCTTTTGAAGGTCGTTTTATCAAACGCTCCTTCAATATCCAAAAACATTCCTAAGGTGAAGAGTTTGTTCTCCATCGCCCACTCTATACGGTTTACAACTGTGTGTAGGGCCGTATCGGTGGATCTTCCTTGGATGTAGGCATGTTGGTTCGGATGTAGAGGTTGCTTGCTCAAAGCAGTCTCCCGAATCTCTTTTTCGCTTAGTCTTTCTAGCGTTTTCAGCAAGAATGATGTTAAGCTAATTGGTCTGTAGGATTTAGCCAAGGTGTAATCTTGTCGTCCTGGCTTAGGTATAAAGATAACCTTTACTTTTCGCCATGCATTCGGTATGTAGCTGAAAGCCAGACACGCCCGAAGCATTGGCAACAAAATAGGGCGTAGTCTGCTCATTCCCCTCTGCAGGAGGGCGGGATAAATACCGTCAACTCCTGGAGATTTGTATGGGGAAAAGCTGTCCACTGCCCACTCCAGTCTTGCCTCCGTGACTACCTTTGCAGCCAGCGCCCAGTCCTTCGGGGAAGGTTGAGTACCGACTACATCCCTTTTGGAATGGGAGGTAGTCCGTGTGCTGCCTGGAAACATGGTCTGCAGCAAAAGTTCTGCGGACTCTTCTAAGGTGGCTGTAAAGGTGCCATCTTCTTTCTTTAGGAAACCTGGTTGATGTGTGTGGTCCTTCGAGAGAACTCTCTTCAGCCTTGCGGCCGAAGCAGTCGACGTTATGTCGCTGCAGAAGGATCTCCACGTTTCCCGTTTCCTCTTTCTTAATTCTTTTTTAAACTCTTTCCGGTGCTCTTTATAGGCTTCCCAGTCTTCAGTTTTCTTAGTGTTTTTTGCTCTATTGAAAAGTTTTCTTAGCCCCGATTGAAGTAGGCTGAGCCTTCGGTTCCACCATGGTGTACCTTTGCCCAGACCTTCCTTCTTTAGGGGGCAACTTTTCTCATACGCTGACATTAGAGAGTCGTTGATAATGGTCAAGGTTTTCTCTATGTCTTCTGTCGAAATGTATTCCGTTGGTATAGACTGCACGGAGGTCCCCAGTCTGTCGTCCAGTTCTTCGTTGTATAAAGCCCAGTTCGTCAGCCTAGGGTTCCTGTACGTCTTTATCTCCATGTCTATACATTTTGATGTATACATGATCCATCTATGGTCTGACACTGACGCCTCTTTAGAGACGTGCCATCCCATTATATATTGTGAGATATCCCATGTAGCCAGTGTAATATCTATTACTGACTGACTACGTGATGTTACGAAAGTTGGTTCGCAGCCTCGGTTGAGAATCTCTAGATTTGTTGATAAAAGATATTCAGCTAGTGTTCTTCCTCTATCATTAGTGTCTTTGCTCCCCCACAACAGACAGTGGGCATTCGCATCGGCACCGATGATGAGGTTTATATTTCCGGTATCACAGTGTTCCACCAAGTTCGCCATTTCCCATGTTGGACATGGTTCCTGTGCTCCCTGTGGTAAGTACACAGATGCTATTACCAGTTGCTCTTCGCCTCTTCCTATGTTACACTTAACATTTACCGCAGTCACATCCCTGGAGCTGACCTGAGGTAGGAGGACGGCTTTGATTTTCCTCGGAATGTAGACGCATGTCCTTGGAGATTCTATTGTGGTACCTGAAACAACAGTGCCATTTAAATTGCTCAACCCTGCGATCCTGGATTTTACAATCCATGGTTCTTGGATTATTGCTATAGTGTTCTGCATCTTGTCTAGACGACGACACAAAACAGTCGTCGCCATGCGACAATGCTGCAGGTTGATCTGAATGAAATTTATCTGCTGCAGCGCCATCTCTGCAACCAAAAATCCCATAATTGTCCTAGGAGACACGAGGCACATTCTCAGGCGGGCCCGCCCCCACTGGTAGAGGCTTCATCCCCTGGGGTTTCTACCTCTTCCATAGGGGTCCGCCCTTCCTGAGCCGACGCCTCGTTCTCCTTGAGTTTCAGGTTGAAAGAGGACAGCATATAATTAATTCTGCCCTCTCTCTCCCTGATTATCTTGGCCTCTTCCATCCCAAGACCAAACACAAAGAGGTTGCCTGGAGAGGCAGCCTCGGGTTTGGCCTCGCGATGGAAAAGAAGCCATTTTTTGACGTGGGCCCATTGGTTCTGACCCTCCAGGCGGCGAAGTACGACTCCTGCATCCACCGGTGGTCCCGGTATCCACAGGGTCGCCCTCACCAGCCTTGGTAGCTCAGCCAAGGGGACCACGTTAAGTTGTGCGCCCTCCCACAAGGGTGTTAGGGAGCGCACTGTTTGTTGTAGCCATTTCAGGGACAACTCGTCTTCACAGGTTATCCTTAGGACTTCCCCTGTGTACTTCATGCCCCTGAAAGTGGCTGCTTATCTACCCGATGCCAAGCACTGGTCCAGTTGCCTGTCCAGCGCTCCCATCAGGCCCTTTTGTACTATATCCACCTGGCCAGCAGTCAGCTTACCAAGTGGATGCTGCACATCAATCACAGCTACACGGAGATGACTTGCAGCCGCCTCCCTGTAGCTCTGTTCTCTAGAGGTAGTCTCCTGCCTCCTCATCCTCTTTTGCTTCTCAGCTGCCGGAGGTGTGGAGGTTGAAGACCTCACTCTCTTCTTTGACCCTGAGGTCTTTTTCCCCGCGGGTTGTTTAGGGTTGGCTATCGTAGCCTGCCCTTTACCCTTGAGGTTTATCCCGGAGGAGGATGGACCCGGTTTCGGCGGGTCGGTATTCGCCGCCTCCGCCTGCAAACGAGCCTTCCTCCGCCTTTTTACCTCAGCCCCGCAGATTCGCTTCCTCCTAGGAGGCTGCGACCCCACATTGGCTGGGTTTCCTGTTTGAGGTGCACCCGAAGGCACTTCCTCAGTGGTTTTTTTATTGTTTTCGATTTCCATAATCTGGATTTTGATTTCGTCCTCCTGCGTCCCCACCCACCACGGAGTCCAACAAGGGGACGCCGAACTTCGACGTCAGGGCTAGCAGAAGGATATAGCCCCCAGGGAAGCTCATCCTGCAGTACGCAGCCTCAACTAGTGAGGTTACTCGTGCTCAGACTACACTTCCCCCAAGGACTCACCCTGTCGGCGGTCTGACCCGACGACACAGCCGATTGATCTGAGATGGGTTAGTCTCGACCTCCCGTTTTGGTGGAAATCCAGGCCAAAGAGGCGTGTTGCCCAGCCTTGGTGACACACTGCACCAAGGGGGGCTCAACCTCCAGGATTCCTTCATCCCACCTTACGGGTCTCCACGCACGGCACAAACACGCGGGAGCTTGTCCGCGGGGCTGTTTTGACGACCCCACACCAGGGGTTTAATCCCGGGGGGGCACGTTTATTTCCAGCCCTCCTCTACTGAACCGCCTTCGCGGCCGTCTAAGCCGACAACCACCAAGGCATGTCCAGGCAAGACGAGCCTCAGCCCTAACCTACATATCTGGAGAAGGGAAAAATCCAGGTCGGACTTCCACCACCCCCAAGAGTGTTTAGTTCCCGGGGGCATATCCGCCCTCCCCAGACCCCCCTTCCCCAGACAATGCCGGTCTCCCCCTATCCGCAACACTGGGGACGCGCCTGATAGGTAACTCAACCCACAGCCTCAGTAATCAATATCCAAACACTTTGGCAAATAATACAGATAAAAATTATGTGCGTAGGACGTGTCAGTTTTAAATTTGCGACTCCGCAGAACTGGAGTTGTATTAATTAAATAGTGAATTATGAAGTTTACAATACTGTGTATACTTTTTTGTGCTACGTCTAGCTTGTGTTTACAGGCAAATACGTCCTATTGTGTAAAAAGTGGAGAGATTGAACTCATAACATCGGATAAAAAAGCAAAGTCAACGAATTGTTTTTTTGTTCAAAACAGTAGAATTAAACTTCATATTGTTAAGTGTAGTAATGGTACAATATGTTCAAAACTGCAATCACACAATCCAACAAAGGGCGAAATTTTGTACATAGACGTAAGTAAAACGAACTAGAAAATTAATCGTAATGAAAAAGATTTTTTAGGGGACTGAACCCGGGGAAATAAGAACACAATATACCATAAAATTTACACGTTGCTTTAATTTATCAGCGATAACAAACTTTAAAGCCACAGGCGAAAATGAATCGTTTTGGACAATTGTTCATAAATCCTTAGAAAATGTCCAGGCAGCAAATCTTTCGCGAGAAATTGTTATTTATAACGCAAAATCATATCGATTTTGTGAAGACCTCGGTCCACATGCCATGATGCCCCAAGAACTATATTGCAAATCTCCTAGTCACGCCAGTTTTTTGTATTTGTTCCTTCTTATTCCAGTAGTATTCTTAGGTGGAGCAATATTTCTGTTTTGGCGAAGGCGAAAAATTAAAACGAAATGTGTAAACAATTTGTCTGGCGAAAACATGGAACTAATGGAAGATGGTGCAAGCAAATCCGTGGTCAAACCGACCGAAAAAAAATGGCCCCCTATAAAAATCAACGACTTTGGGGACTACATGCGGGACGTTCTTGAAGCCAACCGAAAGTACCGTTATTGTTGTATTCAAAACCAATTTTCTGTGCGTGTTGTCTTTTTATTACCTAAAAAACCACAAAAGAGTCATATTTTAGGATCTACCATCTGGATTGGTAAAGTCCGTCAAAGAAGCGACAAAACAAAAAAATGCCGACAAAAATCGTTGCAACACGATTTACCCTTGTATGTTTATTACTTCTATACTTAGTATTATCTCACCCAGGAAATGTTTCAGATGATAAAAATCGTGTCAAACTTGACACAACTTCAGCCGGGAAATATTTCAAAGGAGACTACATTAATGCGAGCTATATTCAAGGCTCCACCAATTACAAAGAGTACATCATTGCTCAAAATCCTCGAACTAACACAGTCAATGATTTTTGGATCATGATTTGGCAAGAAAGAATTAGTTACTGTGTAATGATAACCAACGAACACGAAACATATCTCCGTTACTGGCCTACTTTAACCGAAAAAAGTGTCACTTTTGCAGACTTAGATATAGTGTTACTCGAAAGACTCGACTACAGATTTTTTCAAAAGTATAAACTTGCTGTTAGTAGAAAGGGTCAGACTAGAGAGGTTTACTAAGTTGTTGTTTGATGATGTGGGGGCAACTTTTGTCGTTTTAGATATGCGTTCTACATTATCATTCTTGGCAGGACTATGACATGATTCTATCAAAGAAAAAACTTCTTCCATTCATTAGCTTTCTACAAAGTATACCGCATTACAGCGCCCCTGTATTGTTTCATTGTCGGTATGAGTTTCCAAATTCGGGTTAAGGTTTTTGTGACGATTTCTTTGCAGAGACGGGACTGGGCGATGTGGAAGTGTCGTTTTGTGCGATATGGTGTTAAGATCGCTGCCTGTGACCGGCATGGTGGACATATTTCACACAGCGATGGTGCTAATGAAATCAAGAGTTAATGCTATCAGCAACTTGGTAACTTATTTTTACAGAGTTTTGTTGAAAATTACAAAAAATTGATTGCAGGAACAATATATTTTGGTCCATTGGATAATAAGAGATTTTTTGGGAAAGTTTTACTAACCTAATTTTGCAAAAATACAGTTGTTTTCAATTCAGCGGATGTTTTTACAGGTTTAAAATTGTATCGGTTGTAAATAAATATTTACTGTATTAATATTTTGCTCAGACTATTAGTTTACTGATAAAAACATGGTACGCACGTGAAAAATCATAAAAATTGTTTTATTTCCAGAGGCGGCTTGAATGTGCGCTGGATTATTTTTTTTATTATTTCTGACCGATATATTTCCAGACAATAATTTTTTTCTAATATTTTAAACATAAATGAAAAATTATTGTTACTCTCATCTTAAATTAAATTGATGTCGTTTAATATGATTTCTAATTTTTCCTTTCTCGAATATTTGGATTTGCAATTTTTTCAGTTTCCGGTTTAAATTTTTTAATTTTTGACTTTTCGATATTTTATTTTTTCGTCTTTTCAGTTGTTAGATTTCCCATTTTTTGACTTTTTATTTTGGATGTTTCCATTTTCGAACAAACACAAAATAGACGAGCAAAATGAAAAAAATCCTGCTTCACAATTTTTTTACTTTTTAATTAAGTAATACATATAAAACGATTACTTAAGAAAATATTTCACATGGTAATTTCTCGTAGAAAAATAATGATTTAACAATTAAGCTTCGCCCCTCGGCTTACGACGAATAAAAAAAATCGTCAGAATTGAGATAGGGTGGGTGGGCGGGGCTTATATTTTGCTTTTTTTTAATATACATAGCCATCTTTTGACAACAAGAGACTTCAAACATGGTTAAAATGGTACATTTTTACAAGGAAATATGGATTTTGTATTTATGTGGTGGAGCCTAATTTTCTATTTTAAACATATTTTAAAAACATGTTTTTGAGTATCGTATTGTTCAAAGAATATTATATGTACATTAAGAAAAAAAAAGGCAAAATATAAACCCCGTCCACCCACCTCATCTCAATTAAGATGATTTTTTTCATTCATAGAAATTGAAAACACGTTTAAAATGGTAAAATTTGTAAGGATATACAGATTTTGCAATTAGGCTCCTCCCCTAGGTATTACATGGTAATTTTGTAGAGAAATAATAAGGATTTTGCCTCGCTTGCTCTCGACGATTATAAAAAATCATCACAATTGAGATAGGGTGGGTGGGCGGGGCTTACATTTTACCCTTTTCTTAATATACGTTGTCGTCTTTTCACAACAGGAAACTTAAAACATGTTTAAAATGGCAAATTCTTGTAGACAAATATGGATCTTGCAATTAAGCCCCGCCCCTCGATCTGACAACGAATGAAAAATTAATTACAATTGAGAATTGAGATCAAGGCGGTTATAGGTGGGACCTAATCTTTGGCTATATTCTTCTTAATAGATAGTTTCTTTGAAAAACTTAAAATAAATTCGTAAAATTGTAAAATGTATCAAAAAAAACTAAAGAATTTTTAAAAACTCAAAACTCATGGTTGCTATTAAAAAATGCTCAGTCTACACAATATAAATAAACGCGGCGAAAGCAATTAAAATTGAATTAGTTAAGAAAAAACTGTAAATTCGTGAAAATTTCAGTTTTAATAAATTTGTTCCTTTTGAATTATTTAAAGTAAAAGTAAAGAAACATTAAAAAATTAAGAACGTGAAAAATTCAAAAGCTAAATTAAAAGTTGAAATTTCGATTAATCGAAATGAGGAAAAATTTAAATAAATATCTTCATTTTAAAAAACTGAGGAAGTGCAAAACTGAAATATCGAAAAAAAGCAAATCAAAAATCTGGCGGACCGAAAAAGTATAAAATTAAAAAATTGTAAAACTGAAAAATTAAAAACTGAGAACTAGAAAACTTAAGTGTGAAAGATTGAAGACACAAAAATTCACAAATAGAAAATATGAAAATCGGAATATTAAAAATCAAGAAACTGGAAAATCCAAAAAGTGAATAAACATTCTAGAAATTGACAAATCGAGATAACTGTAAAATCGAAAAAATGTAAATTAAAAATTGCAAAATTAAAATCGAAAAACTGAGAAATCATAGAACCAAAAAACTGTGTAATTTTTAAAAATTCGAAAGCAGTTGCTATTAAAAGTCCTCATTCTACACGATGTGAATAAACGTCGAAATTAATACTGTTACGATGAGCAGTGATTAAAAATGGACGTGGGTAAAACTCAACAATTTATTTCTTAACAATTCGAATTTAAACGACAACACAGCGATTATGTACAAAATAATTCCGGCGCAACATTCACTGGACTCGACTCGTTGACTGAATAACCCTCGTTCCCGACGGTGGCCTCTATTTAAACCTATACGTTCCTCTGGATGAATCGAGAACGCCGCTCGACTATCCTGACCGCCTCTAGAGTTGTCAGTAGTCCCCAGGCGTCGTACCCTCAATTAAAAATCATAAAGTTAAAAAAAATTAAATACAAAAATTGAAAAACGACAAATTGAAAAATCAAAAATTAAAGTAATCATGAGCCCCCCTGTTTATTTCCCAAGCGTAATCTAAACCTTTTAATAATTTGTCTATGGTTTAGGTATTGTTTTCTAATAAAGAATAAATTCACACGTATGATTTACGGAAAAATATATACAAGGATAGTTTACACTTCTTTTGAATTTTGATAAGATATTAAAATTGATTTAGTGATTACAGACCGTGTGTTCAAATTTAGTTAATTCGTCGGTCCCAGAGAACTGATATCGTTATCTCAAAAAATTGTGAAATAAATGTTTATTAAATTATTATTTTTAGAAAAAAATCCAGTGCACGAAATTATTAATTCTACTAGTAGCATATGTGCACCCTTGTTGCAATAATGTATTATATTTTAGTGTGACGTCGTGAAGATGCCAACCTTGTTAGTGAAGTGTTACTAAGTTGTATTAAGTGTGGTGTTCTTCAGGCGGAATTGGGTTAAAGTAAACTACATCGTGTGTATATTCGGAAAATTTTGTTTATTTTTATTTGATTAATTTGCAGCATTAAATTTTTTGAGGCAATGACGTCCTAGGTATGGCTATATCTATGACAAACAAGGAAAGATAAGCAATGAGTAAAGAGTTTTTCAAACGGAAAAAGAAAAATGAGGTTGAAAATACTCTGTACTTTTTTTTATGTTGCGACTAGTTTGTGTTCAGGACAAAATGGGCATTACTGCCTAACTGAAGGAGATGCTGGACTTATAGTATCAGATAGGGAGATGGGGAAAGATGGCAATATCGGTTCAAGTAAAACTGTATCTAAATAAATTGCTACATTGTATTTACGGTTAATCATTGTAGTCCCTCAGTATTTGGAAAATGTGACATCAATAAATCTCGATATTACACAATGGCAGCGTTCATCTTGGAATAATAATGCTGTACTACAAGAACCAATTTTGGATGAAAGATGGGAAACCTTCTTGTACACGAACGATTATACAAAATTCCAAGAGATATTGAACAACAGTACAATCAAATCTGCCATTTTTAGCGTTAGAATTTACACAGATCTTACTGAAATTAGCCCACAATTTAACAAGGCGCAGGTAAAATTATGACTTCATTAGTCTTATTCAGTTATTCAGCATTTGTGTTTCCCAAATCTGCTGTAATTTTTGGCCCCACTTATACAGGTTCCCCTAAAGGAAACCAAAACTTTATAGTTAAGTTTAAAGTTAACAGACTTAAAATTGTTTAAACAAATTTTATTGGATATAATTAATTATAGTGGCTATTGCGGTTAATCACAGTTCAACTGGTTTTAGTGGTACCACCTTAAAATTAACGAAAATGTTCTGTATATTTGCGAAACTGATCCGAACATTAGGTGTAACGAGACTTTGGACACTAAAAACCTTTCCAGCTACGAGTTTTACGTTAATACCACAATTAATCAAAGCATGTGGATACTACACGAATGTAAGTACGTATATAATTTGTAAAACCAAACAATTTTGATATACGTTTATTTAAATCGGTAGTCGAAAATTCGAGAATTTTTTGTTTTTCCAGATTATTATTTCTACAGTAATGAGATTAACGCCACTGTAGATGTATATACAGGAACCTCAACAAGTTGTTCTAATGTAAAATACGGCTGGATTAAACTTCATGTAGCTATGTGTAGTGACTGTAAAATGTCACTGGAATTACAGTCAAACGATGATACTAACAAAACCGAGACTTTTGACATAAACGTACGTAGAACGAAATTGGCAAGCTCTTTATTGTGTTACATAATTTACAAAATCAACAAATTTTAGGGGACCGGACACTGGGAAACATTAACACATTATGTCGTAAACTTTACAACTTGTTTCAAATTGTTGGCGACAACAATATTTGAAGGTACAGATGAAAAAGAACCGTTTTGGGCAATTGGTGATAAGTTGTACTTTTCAAAGAATGAAAATTGCGCAAACACTACAAGATACACTCGCATTTATAGCAACGATCCATCAAATTTAATTTGTGAAGACAGCAGGAACAACCAATACAACATAACTCAAGAAGCACCCACCACGCAGTGCTACGAACCTCAACCTACTACTACTACACCATTAACTGAAACTATATCAGTAAATAGTACTAGGTCATCAAAAGAGAAAGAGTCTGAAGAAATTGAAAAATCTTCTTTTAATTTTTTATATTTATTAATTGTTATTCCAGTAGTGATTCTAGTTGGTCTAACGATTCCATTTTGCCATATACGAAAAACCAAACTAAAGCGTAACCGCATATTATCAAGTAAAGACGACGAAAATATAGAACTAATGGAAAACGGTGCCCAAAGATGGACGTTTAAACCGGGTGAAAAGCACTGGCCCCCTGTGAAAATCACCGATTTCGGTGACTACATCAGCGACGTGTTTGATCCCAACAGGCAATTCCGTTACTGCTATATCCAAAACCAGTTTTCTGTGCGTATTATTTCCCGTTTATTAATTAACAAAGCGGCTATTTTAGGACCTACCGTCTGGGTTTATAAAATCTGCCATAGAAGCAAGAAAACAGAAAAATGCAGACAAAAATCGTTGCTGTGAGATTTACCCCTGTACGTTTTTTAATTGTATGGTTCGCATTGTCAAAAAAATTTTCAGATGATCGTAATCGTGTCAAACTGGACCAATCTTTCGCCGGAAAGTTTTTCAAAGGGGACTATATTAACGCGAGTTACATTCAGGGCTCTACCAATTACAAAGAGTACATAATTGCGCAAAATCCTCGCGCGAATACAGTCGACGATTTCTGGATTATGATTTGGCAAGAAAGAATTAGTTACTGCGTGATGGTAACTGACGAACAGGGAGAATATTTTCGTTACTGGCCTAGAGTAAACGAAAAATGTCTTACTTATGGGGATTTGAATATTACTTTAGATGAACGACTGGATTATACGGTCTTCCAAAAGTATACACTTACAGTTCGGAGAAAAGATCAAACTAGAGAGGTTTATTGGAGTACTTATTTGATGATGTGGCAAATTTTTTTCTCGTTTTAGATTTTTATCGTGCATTATCATTCGTGGCAGGACAACGACATGGATTTAGCAAGGACTAAACTTCTCCCATTCATAAGTTTTCTACAAAGTGTACCTCATTACACCGCTCCTGTACTGTTTCATTGCCGGTAGAATTTTCAAAATAGTGTGACTTTTAATAAATTTATTTTTTCAGAGATGGTGCTGGACTGTCTGGAACTGTCGTTTTGTGCGACATAGTGCTAAGATCGATACCTATGACCGGAGTGATAGACATGTATCACGCAGCGAAAGAATTAATGAAGTCTAGAGTTAATGCTATCAGCCATTTGGTAATATTTTCGCATTTTTATTTTAAATTACTAAGAAAGTGATTGTAGGATCAGTACATCTTAACTCACTGGATAATAAAAGATTTTTTGGAGAAGTTTTACTAATTAATAATTTTTTAGTACTATCGTAATAATTGTGGTTAAAGTATAACCAAGAGTCATAAACAAAATAAGCTTCTAAATTAAGTGCACGTTTAAGTTTAAAATTCAAAAAGGGATCTTTAAAAGTCCGAAAAAATTATCGTTGCAGTAACAGAATAATTTTAAGTATTTATTTTGTAGTTTAAAATATTGCTTCTATTATTTTTACGTTATTTTTATCAATTGCGAATATTTACTTTAATAATATTTTACTTAAACTTTTCGTTTGTTGATTTAAATGTGACTTACACATGAACAATCATAAACATGTTTTTTATTTCCCTAGCATAACATTACACATCATGTAGAAAATTAAAATAGATTTCTTCGAAACTACAGACCATTTCGAAATTTAAACGGCGACAAAAATTGAGAATGAATTCAGGGGCGGCTGGTGCCAGGGGACACAAGGGCACGTGCCCCCTCAATATTACAACGTCTACAAACACACGAACATGGCAAAATAGTAATTTTCAAGATTTAAAAAATTATCCGGAAATTTGTGTCATACTTTTCAAAAATGTATCAAAACTTACATCCACTTACATCTAAAGAAGTTGTGTCTTGTCTTATATGATATATTATTGCGGGTGAAGTGCTGATAAAAGCCGGAAACGGAGACTAAATCATGGCTGATTATTAGACGTTTTGTTTACACCGTTGCCATTGAAACCGTGCGACTAGCTGCGGCATTGGACTGGAATCGAGTCCCGTTCTCACAGTGCTCAGCTGGATTAATACAGGCGTGGATGAACCACGACACTTAACGGAAAGAGGAACAAATCACGAAAGAAGTGCATCATTTATTAGTGGATTTTATAATCTCGGTAATGCAGACATTCGGAAACAACTAGACACCGCCTATATTAATAATATTCGGGCACATAGCACAAGGGTCGACAAAAATCGCCATATATTACGCCAATTGATAATCTGCATAAAATTTTGTGGAGTGTTCGAACTTGCTTTACGTAGACATGACTAAAGTAGGGAATCACAAAATCTATCTTATTTTTTGCATTATTTTCTTAATATACATAGCCATCTGTTGACAACAAGAAACTTAAAACATGTTTAAAATGGTACAAATCGATATTTTCTTATACAAATTTTCCCTTTTAAACATATTTTAAGTTTAATGTTATGAAAAGAAGTCCAGACATATTAAAACAAAAGGGTAAAATGTAAGCCCGCCCACCCACCCTATCCTAATTGCGATGATTTTTTTCATTCGCCGTGAACCAAGGGGGGCGGAGCTTAACTGCAAAATACTTATTTCTTTACAAAAAATTAAAAACATGTTTTTGAATATCGTGTTGTTCAAGGAATATTATGTACATTAAGAAAAAAAAAGGCGAAATATAAACCCCGTCCACCCACCCCATCTCAATTGTGATGATTTTTTTCATCCTTATAAACTTAAAACACGTTTAAAATGGTAGATTTTTGTAAGGAAGTACAGATTTTGCAATTAGGGTCCTCCCCTAGGTCTGCCAACGAATGAAAACTCCATTACTAAGGGCCGGTCTTTTCATGTCCCAGATAAAGTGTTCGATAACTATCATCCCGATAACTTTACCTGGAGGTCTTATCTTCTAAATAAGCTCGTACCGTCTTTTCATTTTGCAACTGTTAGACATGGGTTTCCGATAACAATCAGCTAGTCCAGCTGTAAGCGAGAGAGTGGGAGCTATTGGTATTGTAATATGAATAAGAGAGAAAGACTATTTGCAACTGGGTTTGCAACAGTTTTTGACGTTTGAAGTCGTACCGCTGCTAACATAACCTCATTTACTTCGTATATTATCGTTTTATTTTGGTTGCGCTATGGAAGTCTATGAACTTATGAAGGTATCGACATGTTATTTGATGCATATTTATTATTAATAATAAATGTGATTGAAGAAATAAATCCACATCGAACATATTTTGTTCGCGAAAATAGAGATTATGTCAACTTTTGGAGTGACCAAGAGATTTTTAATCGTTTTTGTCTTTCAAAAGCCACAGTAGAATTATTGTTTAACGAAATTCAAAAGCAGTTACAACATCGGGCCACAAGGTAAAGATAAATACGAAATATTAAACGTACTATTTTGTATATTAAAATTTGTGTTAAAAGTCGGCTTGTTTCGGCCTTGATGCAATTTGGCTCTCTGTTCCGTTTCTGTTCGCTTTCAATTTTTCGTTTACCCATTTTTCGTTTACCCATTTTTTTTTATCAAGAAAATCACTTACGGTTTAATAAGTAAACACCGTCTTTGGCAGAAATGGGCAGGTGAATTTGAAACAATCGCGCAAGTTCGCTGCGCCATCGGTTGTCGCCGTCAGATATCAGCAAGAATCGGCGACTATCCGGAACTTAAAGTTCCGAATAGTGTATCTGCCGAATAAGAGCTATTTATCTGGAAGATAATTTTATCAGGTGGTGAAAAGACTCCATTTGACATTATCTAGTAGATAAAAATAATCAGGAACTCTATCAGGAGGTGAAAAGACCGGCCCTAAGTATTTAGAACAGGGCAGGTATGGGTGGGGCTTAATCTTTGGTTTCAATTTTTTCTTAATATACATAGTATTCTTTGAATAACATGATACTCAAAAACATGTCTTAATTGGTAATTTCTTGTAGAGAAATAACAAAGATTTTGCAGTTAAATTTCGCTCCTTTTGCTCTCGACGATAAAAAAAATCATCACAATTGAGATAGGGTGGGTGGGCGGGGTTTATATTTTGCCTTTTTTTCTTAATATCCGTAGTCGTCTTTTTAGAACAAAAAACTTAAAACATTCTTAAAATGGTAAATTCTTGTAGACAAATATGGATCTTGCAATTAAGCCCCGCCCCTTGATCTGACAACTAATGAAAAATTCATCACAATTGAGAATTGGTATCGGGGCGGTTATGGATGGGACCTAATCTTTGGTTTTATTATTCTTAATAGACAGAAATTTTGAAAAACTTAAAACAAATTCGAAAAATTGTAAAATCTAACAAAACAAACTAAAGAATTTTTAAAAACTCAAAATTGGTTGCTATTAGAAAAATGCTCAGTCAACACAATATAAATAAACACGGTGAAAGCAATTCAAAATTAATCAGTTAAGAAAAAACTGTAAATTCGTGAAAATTTCAGTTTTAATAAATTTATTCCTTTTGAATTATTTAAATTAAAAATTAGAATATGGGAAAATGAAACATTAAAAAATTAAGATCTTGAAAAATTTAAAAGCTAAATTAAAAGTAGAAATCTGGGGAAAAATTTAAATATCATCATTTTGAAAAACTGAGGAAGTACAAAACTGAAATATCGAAAAAAACCAAAACAAAATTCTGGGAGACCGAAAAATTACAAAAACAAAAAAATAATAAAACTGCAAACTAGAAAACTTAAAATCGGAAAACTGTAAAGCCGAAAAATTGAAGAAACAAAAATTCACAAATGAAATATATGAAAATCGGAATACTAAAAATCGAGGAACTGGAAAATCCAAAAACTGAACAAACAATCTAGAAATTGACAGATCGAGCTAACTGTAAAATCGAAAAACTGAGAAATCATAAAACCAAAACTCTGTGTAATTTTTAAAAATTCGAAAATTGTTGCTATTAAAAAATCCTCTTCTACACGATGTAAATAAACGTGTTGTATTTGTCGAAATTAATACTGTCACGATGAGCGATGATAAAAAATCGACGTGGGTAAAACTCGACAATTTATTTCTTAATAACTCGAATTTAAACGACAACACAGAGATTATGTAGAAAATAATTCCGGCGCAACATTCACTGGACTCGACTATACGTTCCTCTCGATGGATCTAGAACGCCGCTCGGCCATCCTGACCGCGTCTAGACTTGTCTGGAGCACCCATTCGCAACTTCCGTCTCTCCGGCCGCTGTCACCGACAAGGAGTCATCACCGCCGTACAGCCTAGAAAGCTCTCGACGGCCCATAGGCGTCGTATCGAGGCGGCGTGTGGGTTTATTTCGTAACAATACATACCCTCAATTAAAAATCGAAAAATTTAAAAATGACAAATTGAATATCTTGTGCTTTGTCTCATTAATTTCTCAACTAATGAGTCGCCCCTATTTATTTCCCATGCGTAATCTAGGCATTGTAATCATTTGTGTAGGGTTTATAATGTATCTTAATACAATACCGAAATTTTTAAATTCGCACGTATCATTTACGGAAAAATATGTACAAGGATCGGTGACACTTCTTGGAATTTTGATAAGATATTAAGATTGACTTAGTGATTACAAACCAAGTGTTCAAATTTAGTTAATTCGTCGGTCCCAGAGAACTGATATCGTTATCTCAAAAAAAAATGCAAAATAAATGTGTATTAAATTATTATCTTTAGAAAAAAGCCAGTGCACAAAATTATTAATTCTACTCGTAGCATATGTGCACACTTATTGCAATAATGTATTAAATTTTAATGTGACGTCGTGAAGATGCCAACTTTGTTAGTGAAGTGTGTTACTAAGTTGTGTTAAGTGTGGTGTTCTTCAGGCGGAATTGGGTTAAAGTAAACAACATCGTCTGTATATTCGGAAAATTTTGTTTTTTTTTTAATTTGATTAATTTGCAGCATTAAATTTTTTGAGGCAATGACGTCCTAGGTATGGCTATATCTATGACAAACAAGGAAAGATAAGCAATGAATAAAGAGTTTTTTAAACGAAAAAAAAAAAAAAATTGGTCTAAAGAGTTTAGACAGTACTTCCCTCGCTGTCGGAAACTTGACGACTGCATGCCTATTGTGTTTTTTTTCTCATTACATTTTTGTAGTGGGAATTTAAAAAAAAAATGCGATGACGTCATCAACATTTTTGCAAGGACACGTATATCAGTTGGGATAGATGTAGTGTAATACTAAGAATAAAATTATTATATTCTCAAATTTTCGGGAAAATGAATTGGGTCGTTTGAATATTGATTTGTAATAATCAATAAAATAACGAAACAATTTACTCACGTATACCTACGTATCAGAGGCAACTAAAAATCGTGTATGTATAAAAATTGTTAATTTAAGATGACAGGCGTAACAGCATACGTGAGAGCCAAACACAGAAACTGTAAACAAAACGACCGTCGGTTTTATTGCTTCGACTTCCGCTTATTATATAAAACATTGGGTTTTATTTTAATTCTTGACGGTGAAATTCACAATTGGTTGATTATAAACATGTCTATTTCGCATTCGCGGAACCAAGTGACCGCATAAAACAAATGCAGATCTGTAACGTTAAAGTCGATGTAAATAAGCGTGCTACCCTTATGTTTCAACCGAGTTTTTCCTTTAACAAATTTTGTGTCTACCAAATTGGGTTGGTTGGGGTGTAATACTAATAATAAGTGTTGCCTTTAATTTAATCAATAAAATAAATTGACTTCATTAATTTTTTTGAACCACCTCTTAAGAAAATCTAAAAAATATGAATGGAATGATAAATCACAAGTACAAACTCATCATATTTTTTGCATTTTAGATAGGATTTATTCAGCAAAATTTAAGGGTGACGTCATCAATTTTTTTAGGAGGGATGAACAAATACATTTTGAACAAAAGTTTACCATGCTTATAATAACTTTAAAATATTCCCAAGATTTCAAAGCATTCGGTTTTGTAATTCCTGATTAAATCGATAAAATAAATTCACGCCTTCATTAATTTTTTTCAGTCACCCTGCATATGCAAATCCAAAAATATGAATGGAATGATAAATCACAAGTACAGACTCATCATATTTTGTACATTTTAGATGCGATTTATTCGGAAAACTTTTGAGCTGACGTCATCAGTTTTTTGTAGAAGATAACCAAATATATTTTGACTAAAAATTTATTATGCTCTTTATAACCTTAAAACATCTGCAAGATTTCAAAGCATTCGGTTTTGTAGTTCCTGATTAAATCAATAAAATAAATTTACGCATTCATTAATTTTTTTGAGTCACTCTGTATATGCAAATCCAAAAAATATGAATGGAGTGATAAATGACAAGTACAGGCTCATCATATTTTGTACATTTTAGATATGATTTATTCGGCAAACTTTCGAGCTGACGTCATCAAGTTTTTGGAGGGGATAAGCAAATATATTTTGACTAAACATTTATTATGCTCTTTATGACCTTAAAACATCTGCAAGATTTCAGAGCATTCGGTTTTGTAGTTCCTGATTAAATCAATAAAATATATTTACGCATTCATTAATTTTTTTGAGTCACCCTGTATATGCAAATCCAAAAAATATTAATGGAGTGATAGTTCACAAGTACAGACTCATCATATTTTGTACATTTTAGATATGATTTATTCCACAAACTTTTGAGCTGACGTCATCAAGTTTTTGGAGGGGATAAGCAAATATTTTTTGACTAAAGATTTATGATGCCCTTTATAGCCTTAAAACATCTGCAACATTTCAAAGCATTCTGGTTAGCAGATTAAAAATTAAATTTCAAAATGTTGTTTTATAATTTTGATTTTTTTTCCAAAAATCTGGACGTTTCGGGTGAAAAGTCGATTCAGAGTTGTAAACTACATGTGTAGGACTATGTTATTTTATACAATTGAAAACCCATTTACTATGTACAATTTTGAAGTGACGTCATCGGTTTAGTGGTGGGGATGATTCGACAAATTTTGGTTAGCGTTTTACCATCTACATGATATTCTTAATATAAGTACAAAATTTCACAACAATCGGTCGAGTACTTTCGAAGATTATCTGTCTAATAAAAATCCGTGACAACAGACGGACAGACGGACAGACGGACAGACGGACAGACGGACAGACGGACAGACAGACGGAAATGGGAGACCTATTTCTTCGTCTTCTAGGGGTCATGAAAGATCGAGAAAACGTAAAAGTAGAGAGTCGGCCGACGGACTCGATTACAATACTTCCTTTGCTTACGCTCGGGAAGTAAAAATGAGGTTGAAAATATTCTGTACTTTTTTCTATGTTGCGACTAATTTGTGTTCAGGACAAAATATGCGTTACTGCGTAACCGAAGGAGATGCTGGATTTATAGTATCAGATAAGGTGACGAAGAAAGATGGCAATCCCGGTTCAAGTTAAACTATCTAAATAATTTGTTATATTGTATTTACGTTTAATCATTGCAGTCTCTCAGTATTTGGAAAATGTGACATCAATAAGTCTCAATATTAGACAATGGCAGCGCTCGTCTTGGACTAATAGTGTTGTACTACAAGAACCAATTTTGGATGAAAGATGGGAAACCTTTATGCAGATGGACGATGATACAAAATTCCAAGAGATATTGAACAACAGTACAATCAAATCTGTCTTTCTTAGCGTTAGAATTTACAGAGATTTTCATGAACTTAGCCCACAATTTAACAAGGCACAGGTAGAATTATAACTTCATTAGTCTTATTCAGTTATTCAGCATTTGTGTTTTCAAAATCTGCTGTAATTTTTGGCCCCACTTATACAGG